TTTTTTCTAATCTCCTCTAATTGTGTTTGGTTTGACTGTATACTTTCCTGTGCTCTGTCTACTAAGTCTGATATTCTCTCTTCTGCCTCTCTGATTCTATTTTTAAGGCTCTCCACTGCATTTTTTATTTGCTCTATTGAATTCTTCATTTCAATTTGATTTCTCCTGAATATCTCAGTTTTGTGTTCTGTTGAATTCTTCCTTTCATCTTGATTCCTCCTTATAATTTCAATTTCATGGGAGAGATTTTCTTTCATGTCCTTCATGGATTTCAGTAGTTTGTGCATTTGCTTTTGATTACTTCTATGTAATCATATGATCAAATTTTTGAGTTCTATTTCTTGCATTTCTTCTATCTCATCACCTTCATGATCTAGTATGGAAGTGTCATGTTCTTTTGGGAGTGTCATGATGTCTTCCTTATTTTTGTTTCTCATATTGTTGCATTTATTGTTTAGCATTTTTGAGATACTCATCTTTTTTTTCTGCTGTGATGGTTTTTATCATTGTATTATCACTGTAGATAAATGGACTTTCTGCTTTCAGTGAATCTCTAGAGGCTTATAGTGGGTATGGCCAGAGAGCTCTGTTCAGTTCTCAAGGGTAAAGGGTATGCCTAAGGTGACACATCCAGGTTTGGCATGGTAAATCTCTCTCTTTTTAATCAGAAGGGAGTTATATTCTGTTCAGCTGAGCTCTTCTCCTTGATGGAGCCCAGTGCCTGAGTACTAAATCAAGTGTGTATAATATTTACTCTGTGCCAAGGACCACATAAGGATCTGTGCTCCCCATTGGGACCTCTATCCCTAATGAGTTGTACTATGAGAATTAATAGTAAATCTAGTCTTCAAACACCTGTTTAGCTGGGAGCCTAGAAAAAGTGCTCAGGCAAGCAATATTGTGAAAAATTAGTTCTAAGTAATATGAAAGATAACCCAGACAAAACAGCAGTCCAGCAAATCATTCAACCTCACTGAAACTACCATCAGACACACCATTCATTTTCTATTAAATCTGTTCATATAAGACTTAATTTGATGAACACTTGTAAGAAGCCATGGGGACTTAGACAGGGATGAAGAGCTATTTCTAATGGGTAGTAATGGAGGTGGAATGGATTACTTGCACAGCTATTCTCTAGATAGGAAATAAAAGAGCTACTGCAACTAGATGCATCATAGCATTTGTAGCCCTGTTATCATGGGATAGCCATGCAACCTAGGAAAAGTGTTCCTCCTGAGGGTATCCTGAGGAATTAACTGAATGTACATCAGGTTTATATAAATCAAGAAATGACATTGTAAATTGGAAGGGATAAAAACACACATTTTCAGTAAAAATGAGAGCCACCTGTAGGAGCAGGGAATAATACAACAATAAAAGTTTATAAAAATTATAGTAAAGTTAAATTAATACAAAAGTGCACTACAGGGGCCAGTGCTGTCTCACAGCAGGTTATCGCCCTGACCTGAAGTACCGCCATCCCATATGGGTGCTGGCTCGAGACCCGGCTGCTCCACTTCCAATCAAGCTCTCTGCTATGGCCTGGGAAATAGTAGAAGGCCCAAGTCCTTGGGCCCCTGCACCTACATGGGAGATCCGGAGGAAGCTCCTGGCTTTGTATCAGCACAGTTCTGCCCATTGTGGCCAATTGGAGAGTGAACCATTGGATGGAAGTTCTCCCTCTCTCACTTCCTCTGCTCTTTCTGTGTAACTCTTTCAAATAAAAATAAATCTTTTTTAAAAAAAAAAAGTGTACTACATTTATGCTCCTGCTTTTCTGTTGCAATGGGTACCACCTGGACAGACTTCATTCCATGTTCTTGTCTCAAGGCAATTAGGAATAGAATGAAGACATGTAGAATAGGGGGATCATGAATGAAAAAGGTATTATGCACTCAGTAATACAGGAAAATTCAGATGAGTGTTGCAACTTATAGTGTTTGAGGTTGTCCCTTTAAAGAATGAGGGTGATGTATGGGACAACATCTACTTGCATATTCAAATAGACCTTGGATATTGGAGTCTAATCCAGATGTGCACACAGATAAGTTCAAATTTCTCATGGGTATATAGGTCACCACAAACACATTCCCTTGTGCTGCACACAACACTTATTATCCAGGGTCAGAGTACACTATTATGGCTGGAACATGTGTCACTTCATATGCCTATGATTTGCACTACAATAATGTGGGGAAAGAATCCTGGGTGGCCAACAAAGCAGCTATAAACAAATAACTTTGTAATTGATGAAGATGGTATTCCAAATAACTGTTGCAATAACTGTTACTCAACTTTGAAATATTTATTAACAAAATTTACACAAGAGAGCACAGTTCAATTCATATACTTGATCCCACTCTCAATGAGAAACCAAAACTGCAGGTTGTATAAGAGAAAAATGTCTGAAGAATGGTTAACCACTCTCTGTCACAATTCATCATGAAAACTGCCCAATACCTACTAAGGTGTGATTCCACCAAAGAATTCTTCCAGACAAATTATATTTCAGGGACTTCTCTCTGTAATCTTGCTATGTTTTGTGGAAGTTCACCTAATAATAAAGGTATTTCCCATTACAATACAGTCATAGGCTTTTTTCTTTCTGTGAGTTGTCAGGTAACCATTGAGAGATGATGTATGGTACATGACTTTCCTATGCATGTATGTTTTCTCATTTCTGAGTCTCTTCATGTGAATTGATTAATGGCAGAAGAATTTTTCACATTCATTAAATTGACATTTTACTATTTGAATTCTCTTGTTTGTTGATGTTTAATTTCTTGTTTTTTAAGATTTTTATTTATTTATTTGACAGGTAGAGTTACAGACAGTGAGAGAGACAGAGAGAAAGGTCTTCCTTCTGTTGGTTCACTCCTCAAATGGCTGCAATGGCCAGAGCTGCACTAATCCAAAGCCAGGAGCCAGGGGCTTCTTCCTGGTCTCCCATGTGGGTGCAGAGGCCCAAGCACTTGGGCCATCTTCTACTGCTTTCTCAGGCCACAGCATACAGCTGGACTGGAAGAGGGGCAGCTGGGATAAGAACTGGCACCCATATGGGATGTCAGCATTGCAGGGGGAGGATTAACCTACTGCTCTACGGTGCCAGCCTGATGTCTAATTTCTGGCTATGGTTTGTTCAAATCTACTGCACTTGAAGGATATCACCTTTTTTGAGTTGCATATTTATTCAAGCCTTAATTCCATGAAAATATACTTCCACATTCATTACACTCCTAAGAAACCCCTTATGTGAATTCTCTGATGTATAATGATCGATTTCTGACAAATGGCTTTTTGTCACACTAATAATATTTCTGAACTTCTTCATTTTTTAATGATTTACTTTATTTATTTGAAAGACAGTTACAGAGAGACAGGGAAGCATAAAGAGGTCTTCCATCCACTGGTTCACTCCCCAGATGGATGCAATGGCTGGAGCTACAGAGATCCAAAGCCAGGAGTCAGGAGCTTCTTCTGGGTTTCCCACCTAGGTGCAGGGCCATCTTCTACCACTTTCCCAGGCCATAGCAGAGAGCGGGATCAGAAGAGGTGCAGTTGGGACTAGAACCAGTGCCCACATGGCATGCTGGCACTTCAGGCCAGGGCTTTAACCTACTGTGCCACAGCGCTGGTCCCCAACTTTCTTCCTTATGGGATTTCCAGCAAAAGGCTCTGTCACATGGTTATGTTGATTTTGGAAAAAGTCCTTCACATTCATTATATTCAAGTTCTCTCCCTCGTTTGAACTGCATGTGTTATGAGGTATTCCTTCTGAAAAAAGTCTTTCTCACATTTATTACAAGATTTCCACCATGTACTAAATTCTCTGCTATTATATTGTGTGATTTTGGCAGTTTTCAACACTCATTCCATTCATAAGGTTTCTCCCTGATGTGAATTCTGATGTTTTATGAGGTGTTACCTGAGGATAAAAGCTTTTCCATATGCATTATATCCAAAGTGTTTTCCCCCATATGAATTAGATGATGCGCAATGAGGACTGAATTATGGGAAAAAGCTTTCCAAGTCATTATGTTCAAAAGGTTTCTCTACATGTGAATTTTCTGATGCGTTCTGAGATGTGACATATTCCCAAGGAATTTTCTACAGTCATTGCATTCATGAAGTTTTTCCCTGGTGTGAAGTCTCTGGTGTGATATGAGCTATGATTTATAACATATGATTTATGAAGGCTTTTCCACACTCATTAGATTCATAAGGTTTATGCCCTGTGTGAATTCTGTTTGATATGAGGTATAATTTATAGAAAAATGCTTTTCTGCAGTCATTACATTTATAAGATTATTTCCCTGGGTGAATCCTCTGATGCATTTGGAGTTGGAACCAAAAGTTTTTCCACAGTCATTATACTCATGAAGTTTCAACACTGTGTGCACTCTCTGGTGCATTATGAGGTTTGACATTTGTCCAAAGGGTTTTCCAGTCATTACATTCATAAGGTTTCTGCCCTGTGTGAATTCTCTGATGCACGATGAGGGTTGACTTATGGCTAAATGATTTTCCAGTTATTCCATTCATGAGTTTTCTACCCTGTGTTAATTCTCTTCTATGATATGAGGTTTGTCTTTTGTCCAAAGGCTTTTCCACAGTAATTACACTCATGAGGTTTCTCCCCTGTGTGAATTCTCTGATGTTTCCAAAGGACTGACTTTTATCAAGAGGCTTTCCCCTGGTCATTAGATTCATGGGTCTCCCCTGTGTGAATTCTTTAGTGTGATATGTCATAAAAAGGTTTTGCCACAGTCATTACATTTATGAGGTTTCTGCCCTGTGTGAATTCACTGATGTATGAGGAGGTCTGACTTTCATCCAACGGCTTTCCCATAGTCATTATATTGATAGGACTTCTCATCTGTGTGAATTTGCTGGTGCTTTATGAGGTGTGACTTTTGTATAAAGGCTTTTCCACTATCATTACATTCATGAGGTTTCTGCCCTGTGTGAATTGTCTGGTGTATGATGAGGTCTGAATTTCATCCAAAGGCTTTTCCACAGTCATTACATTCATGAGGTTTCTGTCCCATGTGAATTTGCTGGTGTTTGATGAGGGCTGATTTTCGTCCAAAGGCTTTTCCACAGTCATTACATTCATGAGGTTTCTCCCCTGTGTGAATTCGCTGGTGTATGATGAGGTCTGACTTTCGTCCAAAGGCTTTTCCACAGTCATTACATTTATGAGGTTTCTCCCCTGTGTGAATTCGCTGGTGTATGATGAGGTTTGACTTTCGTCCAAAGGCTTTTCCACAGTCATTACATTTATGAGGTTTCTTCCCTGTGTGAATTCGCTGGTGTATGATGAGGTCTGACTTTCGTCCAAAGGCTTTTCCACAGTCATTACATTTATGAGGTTTCTCCCCTGTGTGAATTCGCTGGTGTATGATGAGGTTTGACTTTCGTCCAAAGGCTTTTCCACAGTCATTACATTTATGAGGTTTCTCCCCTGTGTGAATTCGCTGGTGCATTATGAGGTTTGACTTTTGCCCAAAGGCTTTTCCACAGTCATTACATTTATGAGGTTTCTCCCCTGTGTGAATTCTCTGGTGCATTATGAGGTTTGACTTTCGTCCAAAGGCTTTTCCACAGTCATTACATTTATGAGGTTTCTCCCCTGTGTGAATCTGTTGATGTTTCCTGAGGACTGACTTTTGCCCAAAAGCTTTTCCGCAGTCATTACATTCATAAGGTGAATTAAAACTGATTGATTTTCCACAAGGTTTACATGTGTAGAGTTTTTCCCTTGTATTTAATCTCTGATTTATTGCAGGATGTGACTGGTGAATGACAGGTTCAACATACCTAAGGTACTTATAAAGTTTCTCTCTTGTGTAGGTTTGTTGGTACATATTGAGGCTAAAATTTTCATGTTTAGCTTTTTCTATTTGAGTTGCTTTTCCAAAAGTGACAGTTGATTTATTATAGTTTTCTGCCATATGAATCCTCTCAGATTTATAAAACATCTTTCTTGTGCAGACGTTTGCTTGTCCAGTGGGTCCAAATGGCTGCTTCATGATGTGAATATTGTCATGCTGACCAAGAGGCTCACAGAACTGGAGAGAATTTCCAGGTATCTTAGTGTTATCAAATTTCTCTCCAGCCTGTAGTTGATCAGGCCCACTGGGGGGATACACAGTGTGATATTTACTGTATTCCTCAGGCTTCAATCCTGTATAGGTTCCCTTTTTAATAATCAGTGTTGGAATATGGCTTGAATTTAAACTAAGTGTTTTTCTTAATTCAACTCTCTTGAGAGCTGATGTCTTATTATTTTTCATAAAATCCTGATTCAGATTTTTGTCATGACTTTCCTGGTTGATCCTAATCAGGTCATCCCTTTTCATGACCACTGAAATGAGAAAAAAGCAATCATGTTACTGAATCACATGTAACTATTTCTCCTGGCATACTCATGTAAAGGGAATGAAGTCACTTGTTATCCAAGTGGCATAATATTTTCACAAAATCAGTATGAGGTACTTATTTATGACCATTATATGGCTTTTCTCATTAATACATTAATATATTAAATTGTACCATGAGGTTTCCCAATGTTGAAATATGATTCTTTTTACTATGAGAATTTTTCAAGGATGGTAGAATTTCATTTGTGCTATGATGTGTGTGATCCCTGCATCTCAAAACAGTGTCAGTTTCAGCCCCGGCTACACTGCTTTCAGTACAGCTCTCTACCCATGTAAACAGGGAGAAAGTAGATAATGGGTCATGTGTCTGGGAACCTGTGAGACACCAGGGAAGACTAGATGAATTCTAGAGTTTTGGCTTCAGACTAGTTAGACCTAAGTGTTGCAGGCATCTGGGAAGTGAGCTAAGAGAGGACCTCTTTCTCTCTCTTTCTCCTCTCACTATCACACTGCCTTTCACAAAGATGAAATAACTATAAAGTATTCTAAAGAATGGACAAATGTTTAATAAAAATATTCACCCACTACCTAGAAACCATTTTCCCTGTCCTTTTTCTCCAGTTTATTTTTATAAAAACTGTGTGTTTTGTGCTTCTCTGATATTTCAAATATAAACATGAAAAAGTTTTACTGATCACTTACTTGTAGGTGGAGAAGAGTGAAATGTTCCTGTACTTTAAGCAAGACAACATTTAAGGAGTATGATTGGAATCTATGATTGTCTTACATTCAGTCTTCCTAGGTAAACATCATTTGTGGGATTTTTCAAATGAAAAAATACTTTGTCTCTACTCTAGGACAGCTTCCCCAAATTCCTAAGGACACCCAACACCTTCAGCTTCTCAGAAGTACAACAGGTAGAGAAAAGTCACAGTATACCACTGTGGTTAAGCACTTCCAATCAGTTTGAAGAATGTGTTTCTGCAAACTGGGATGTGCTCATCTTCTTTAAAAGCGTTTTCTAGCTCATTCTGAAGTCATCAGTGCTGGTTACCACCTCTAAATTCTTTCTATAAACATTCCTATGTGATAATTTGAATTTCTGGATGCTTTTGATCAATTGCCTCCTATTTGCACAGAAAGATTCATTTCCTATGCATTTCTCATCATTTTGTTTGCATATTTTTCAATGATACTGAAAAATAGGAGAGAAAGCATACTTCAAACTCCACCCTTAAAGAAATCTGAACCACTCAACATAAACCCACGAGGCTACTTGACCTTGGTCTCAACATCTCATTACTTTCTTGGTTAGTCTAGGATCACTTATTTTTATGTTTTATATAAATTCATGCTTAGTTTATGATTTCTTTTTTCAAAGATTTACTTTATTTATTTGAAAGCTAGAATTATAGAGAGAGGTAGAAACAGAGAGAAGTGGTTCACTCCCTATATGGACACAACAACCAATACTGGGCCAAGATGAAGTTAGGATCCAGGAGTGTCTTTCTCGTCTCCCACATGGGTACAGGGAGCCAAGGACTTGGGCCAACCTCTGCTCCATTTTCAGGTGCATTAGCAGAGAGCTGGATTAGAAGAGGACCAGCTGGGACTTGAACTGGCACCCATATGCAATGCTAGTGCTGCAGGCTGGAGCTTTAACACACTGCACCACAGTGTCATTCCTAGCTTCCTAATTTCTGATGTCACAGCACAGAGGCTTATTCCTGACCATCTTTTTAGAAAGATTTATTTATTTATTTGAAAGTCAGAGTTACACAGAGAGAGGAGAGGCAAAGAGAGAGTACGGTCTTCCATCCAATGGTTCACTCCCCAGTTGGCCTCAATGGCCAGAATTGTGCTGATCTGAAGCCAGGAGCCAGTAGCTTCTTCTGGGTCTCCCTTGGGTGCAGGGGTCCAAGGAATTGGACCATCTTCTACTGCTTTCCCAGGTTATAGCAGAGAGCTGGATTGGAAGTGGAGCAACTGGGTCTTGAACTGGTGCCCATATGGGATGCCGGCACTTCAGGCCAGGGTGTTAACTCGTAGCACCACAGCACCGGCCCCGTGACCATATTTTAGCATTTACTTATTTACTTACTTGAGAGTCAGAGACACAGAATGAGAGATAAAGACTGAAAAGAGGTTTGCCAGCTATAGGCTCACTCCTCAAATGTTTCCAACAAACTATAATTTTCTTATTTATTTGAGAGGCACAGAGGAAAAAAAAGGAAAGAGACTAAGAGAGAGAGAGAGTTCACATTTATTGATTCCATCCTGAGAAAGTTCTATTCCTGGGGAAAATCATGAGTGGGTACTCAATTTGAGCAATGAGTTAGAAATAAGTTTCTGGGGGCCAGCGTTGTAGCATAGCAGGTAAAGCCACCACCTGCAGTGCCAACATCACTTATGGGCACCAGTTCAAGTCCTAGCTGATGCACTTCTGATCCAGCACTCTGCTATGGCCTGGGAAAGCAGTAGAAAATGGCCCACATCCTTGGACCCCTGTACCCATGTGGGAGACCTGGAAGAAGCTCCTGGCTCCTGGCTTTGGATCAGTGCAGCTCCAGCCATGACAGCCAATTGGGAAGTGAACCAGTGGATGGAAAACCTCTCTCTCTCCCTATCCTTCTTCTCTCTCTTACTTTCAAATAAATAAATAAATCTTAAAAAAAACCAGAAACATTAATCTTTAAAAAAATGTTTCTGAACATTGCCTAATTAACAAGCACTGAAGGAACTAATAAGTGCATGAAGGAAAAGGTATGAAAGTTTAGAGAAGGACAAGTTAGAATTTGGGGAATTATCAAACCTAGATAAAAGCCTTAGTAACATCAGAAAATGATTGGATTTTTTTATTCAAAGAACATCTTCACTAAGAACAAAAGTTAGAAAGACACTGGTATCACTAAATACTCTAGAATGCCTGTGTCTGATGAACAACACCAGCTGTCATCAGGAGTAAGGCTTGAGAAAAATTCATGGAAAGAGCACCAGTCACCATCTGCACAATTTCTGCCTTGGTCTCCCTATCTCTTATGTGCAGACTGACCTGGAAGGCTCTGATTCAGGCATTCTTCCACTATCCATGGCTCTGCTCCTTGCTCCAACTTGAAGATCAAGTCAGGTTTGGTAATGCAGTGCCCTATTAATGGAAACATGTAAGACTTTGTGAAATCACTATCTTGGGTTATTTAAAGGACTACAGCTTGGTCCAGGAGCTATGCAACAAATGTTCCAATTTGAATCTTTTATTAGAGGGTAGATATTCAGATCATTCCTGGACTCAAATTCTACACCAGCCCAATATTAAACATTATAAAGTGTTCCCTTAGTTGTCAAATAGCAAGAAAATGTTATCACTGGGCATGTGATGGGTGTTACTCACCCAAGGAGAACAGGCTGCTGTAGGTCTCCAGCATCACATCTCTGTACAGGATTTTCTGAGCATTGTTCATTTTCTGCCATTCCTCCCAAGTAAAGTACACAGCCAGGTCTTCAAATGCTATCATCACCTGTAATATTACACTTCCAGTCAACATATTAATTCTGTCACAAAATAAACACCGAGTGTTGTGTGTGGATACAAAGGAAAAAAGAAAGGATATGGTTTCTCATTAGACTTGCTGAGTGTTTAGAAATCCACACAGAAGCATTCAACAGTGTCAAATCCATGATCTACAGGCTGTGAGAAATGCCTAAGCTGGAGGGAAACAGGAGGTTCAAATCACAAAGGCCACATCTGTCAAGGGGAATTGCACAGCAGGCTAATAGAGGGGCAATATTGACTCTTGAATGGGCAATGTTAAGGAGAAGTATGTAGAAGCATTGAGAAAAAAAGGCAAGAAAATATCAGTGAAACTATGATGGGAATGAACAGAAGATAATTTCCAGGAAAACACCATGCCTATCATTTCCAATATGTCAGAGAAGAAATACATTAAAAGACAGGGCAGGCATTAAGCTTAGTGTTTCTGGTGCCACCTCAGAGTGTCTATGTTTGATTTCCAATGCCAGCGGCAGTTTTTAGCTCACAGATAATGCAGACCTGGGGAAGCAGTTGTGATGTCACCAATGAAGGAGGCCTAGATTCCATTTCTTAATTCTGGCTTCAGTCCTGCCCCAACTATGTTTGGTATGGTTATCTAGGGAGTGAATAAATGTGTCAAAGCTCTCTATCTCTCAGTCCATCAACTTCTTTCTCTCTCAAGCTAATAAATATTTTTAAGTAAGAGAGAAAATACAGGTAAGACAAAGAATACAAATTAGCTTTTTCCCTTGTCTATGATTATTCTACTGATAAACAATTGATATAACATTATACCTAATTAAAGTGAAAGCAATGGTGGCCAGCTCCATGGCTCACTAGGCTAATCCTCTGCCTTGCGGCACCAGCACACCGGGTTCTAGTCCTGGTCGAGGTGCCAGATTCTTTCCTGGTTACCCCTCTTCCAGGCCAGGCCCTGCACCCCATGGGAGACCAGGAGAAGCACCTGGCTCTTGCCTTCAGATCAGCGTGGTGCACTGGCCATAGTGCTCTAGCAATGGCGGCCATTGGAGGGTGAACCAATGGCAAAAGGAAGACCTTTCTCTCTGTCTCTCTCACTGTCCACTCTGCCTGTCAAAAAAAGAAAGAAAGAAAGAAAGAAAGAA